CGTGCACCCCTCGGCCGGCTGGGACGGGGAGAGATGCTTCACAGAGACCCCAGATCCCTCCAGTTTCACTTACAAAGTATTTCACAGTTCTTATTGGCACGTTTTCCCCCGATTATCCCTTTGCTCAGTGTCTGCATTTACCATCAAAGTCCTCTGGGCGTGGGAACTGTAGGTATGTGCAGAAACAACAAAAAAATCTTGTTATTCAGTCAACAAAAAGCATAAGCCTAAAGGTAAGCAAGCTTTATTGGTATTGCTTGCTGCACACAGAAGCAGCTTTTTTTAGCTGTTGTTTTCTTGAGAGATTTAACTCCTCACCATCCCTCGGCTTCCGGGTTGCAGGATGAAGAACCGTGGTGCGCCCGCTTTGGGCATTAAATATCCTCAGCTGTTGTTTCAGGTGCTGTCGTGGGCTTTAGCCATTTTGTAACCAGACGGACTAAAGCAAAATGCAGAATGGGGAGTTTTAGAAAACTGTGGTTAGAGCGTGGTTTGCGTGCTGAGTTAACGTGGTACTCTGGGGATCTCTGTGTTCTTAGGTTCGAATACACGCACAAGAAACAGACGGGCGGAGCAGGCCAGTATGGCAAAGTCATAGGAGTTCTTGAGCCCCTGGACCCCCAGGACTACACAAAACTGGAGTTTGAAGACAGAACCATCGGCACAAATATTCCAAAACAATTTGTGCCCGCTGTTGAAAAGGTATAAAGCCGTTTCTGTGTGTGTATAATATAAGAAATACTGATTCTTGTTGTTTTCCTGCTATACCGTCCGCATTTATTGTGACTTGCTCCCCCAGCAAGGAGGCTTTTCCCATTACTTCAGTGGAAGCGGAATCAAATCTGTGTGGCTTTGCTTAATATCTTACATCCCTGGGTTTTTCACTTAGTTTAGAAGCTGCTGTTTGTTTTCTCTGGTGGTGTGTGCTTGCTCTATTTCTGTAGCAGTGCAAAAGGTAGGCTTTCCTTTCTTGCAGTCACCCAGGGCTCCCTCTGTTCAGTCTGGTTTTAATGGCCCTCTTCTGCTTTTGGCTGTGGCCACGCGATTCTCATCTCTAACCCCGAAATATCTGACTGTTTTTGTGACTTCTCTGAGGCCGGTTATGTAGGAAACTGTAATTAAGCCAGATTTCCTGCATGAATTACCAAATATTGTTTCTTTTTTGTCTCTTCTGTGGGCTTCCTTTGTGTCTGTTTCTCTGTAACTGTATAATTTATCACATACTACTTTAGTGCCTAGCATAATCTTTGAATTCCTATAATAACGGATCAACCTAGAATAACTCCTTTGTTATTCCATGATGCAACACTTAGAAGATTTTTGCCAAATCCTGGAAGAAGCATGCATTCTTACAAGAACCTTGTTCTGCAGTCCAGCGGTTAGCGTAGTTCTTTCCACATGGAGCATTCTTTCAGTTTTTGATCACACAGTTCCTTAACAAAGCAAAATCCCAAGCACGTTTCTTTTTCTTCTTCTTTGCTTGTTACTTGATTTCTATTTTTAAAAAAACTATCAGCGTCAATCCGAGGTGCCGAAGAATGATAGTATGAAGTTCTCAAACGCTTGGGAATGGAAACTTTTCCCCATTTTCTTCCATTATCTTACCAAGCAGGAAGGTCCATTGAGTAGATACAGGATTGCTGTTAAAAACTGTGAAAGGTTTTTTTGTGTGTTATTGTTGTTCTGTTTTTTAAGTTTAATGTCTTTTATGGGCCGTTGTTAACGCTACTTTCTTTTTAAGCTTCATTTTGGTCTAAAACCTGCTAACTTTGAGATGTTATTTGACAGGGATTCCGAGAAGCATGTGAAAAAGGTCTAGTGTCAGGGCACAGGATATCTGGAGTCCGGTTCGTCCTGGATGATGGCGCACATCACATGGTGGACTCGAATGAAATCTCTTTCATCAGAGCAGGAGAAGGAGCCCTGAAGCAAGGTATAAAGCTGGTCGTTTGAGCGTGTAGTCCTGGTGGCTTCTTTATTGTTGGAGCTAAATTCAACCACCTCTTTTCTATAGGTTTGTTTGTTGCCTGGTGTACCCATATGTACATTGAAAGTTTGGCCGGTGGTGTAGAGGAGAATATATACGCAAGAGTTTATAGCAGTTTTGAGGGAGGCACATTAATGACTTTAATTGTGTGAAGGAAATCTTGTTTTCCTAGAATAAAGAAACACCAACAGCCTCATTCTTACCTGGGTATGGATAGAACCTTTACCAAATTGTGTGCCTCCCAGTGTTACAGTCTCGGGAATAAAAGGCAGGAGAGCTGGAATTCCATATAGTCAATTATTGTTTTCCTGCACTGATGTAAGCAACACTCGGCGTTAACTGTGAGACACTTGCTGGCTGTGCACAGGGGTATCGTGATTTATACCAGGCTTGTTCTTTGATGTTTAGTTACTCAGTTCAGTTGTTTTCCCCAGCTATGGAAAACGCCACTGTGCGTATACTCGAGCCCGTTATGGCAGTGGAGGTGATGGCACCCACTGAGTTCCAAGGAGCGGTGATAGCTGGAATTAATCGCCGTCACGGAGTGATCACAGGACAAGACGGCGTAGAAGGTTACTTTACTCTCTATGCTGAGGTTTGTGGTGTTTGCTCGTTCCTGACCTTTTCTTTTTCTGCCTTGCCTTTCGACTCCATTACTTCTTGACTAATATGCATAACTAGCCAGGTTTTTCAGTGGATAAACAAGCATAATGTGAATTTTCCACTCGTGGCAGTGTATTGTGCAGTATTAGTGAACCTATTGTAAATCTGTCTTGCTCCAGTGAAGCTGACTTGCTAACCTAAAATCACACGGTGGCAGAGGAACGGGCAGAACTGGGGTTTCTCGCCATGGGCTGGCGGTGCTGCCAGAGCGAAACAAACCTGCAGCGATGCAGGTGCAGAGCTCAGGGGGAAGGTCTGTCAGTCGGCTGTCTTCCCTCAGCTCTTACCACCATTAACTGCAATTATCGGAGATAAATGAGAACAATTTGTTTTCAGTGTCCCTTCTTTGATGGCCTGTCTAAAAACGTTACGTGTTCTCACGTTAGCTCATGCAGAAGGGTACGTCTAACAGCGGTGGTAGGGTAAATCATCTCAGCAAAGCCTTAGCTAGCGACAAACCACACGCTGCGTCACTTCTACTTCATAAGTTGTGTCTAGAGCTGCAGTCTCGAGACAGTTCAGACGTTATGATCTCTTGCCTGCTGATGCAGATTACTGAATCGGGGGTGCTCTGGTATCTGGCGCATTCAAACTTGAGATTTTTGGGGTTGTGAACATAAATCAGTTGAAATACAAGGTACTTTACAAAAATAGATAATTAGATCAGTACTGTTTGCAAAGACCACCAAATTTCACTGATTTTGTATCGTAATTGAGATAAATTGGATAACAACCCAAAGTTGGTGGAAAAATACCTTGTTTTTACAAGAATAGTGTGCTTGGATTTTAGGTGCCACTGAACGATATGTTTGGATACGCCACCGAGCTCAGGTCTTGCACAGAGGTAAGCACTCTTGGTACTTTTTGCTAGAACGTGTTTATTTCTGTACATCAAGTGTGACAATTTGCAGCAGTAAAAGTGATAAAAATCAAAGCAAATACAGACTAGGAAAATAACTTTGGAGTTTTTACTGTTACTTCAACTGCTTTTTAACAAAAATCAAAGCAAATACAGAATAGGAAAATAACTTTAGAGTTTTTACTGTTACTTCAACTGCTTTTTAATTAACATCACTATCATTAGCTGTGTCATTTCTGGCCAATAAATTCTTTCATACTTTGAGGAGGGAAGAGATTCAGAGTCATAAGTAACGCAAAGGGATTGGTACAAGGAAAGGTATTAAATTCACGGGCCGGAAAAGTGGAGGCGTACTCCTTAAATTACAAATGTCTGCAAGTAGAAGAGACTTTTGACAGCAGCACTCACATTATTAAGATGTCCTTTTTTAATTATGTATATGCCTGTAGTTATACGCTCATTGAAAGCATTCGAATCGGGCGAGTTTGTTACATAAAATTTGCCGTCCCATGTCTCGTGACGTGCGAGCGCCGATATTCTGTCTGCGCTCAAATGGGCTGTTATTAATTCCCGTGCTCAGGTTCAGTTTTTAAGCAGAATTGTCACTGGTGAGATGGGACCACGGGCGATCCTGTAGCAATGAGACAGCGTTCAGATACTGTTTGTGTGTCTTTGCATCTCATACCCGCGTGCCTCAGTGTTGGTAGACTTAATCGTAAAGGATAATTGCATGTTATTTCACAGATGAGGGTGTGGCCTACTGCTAAATAGGATGACACATTCAGCATCCTCACTCTGACTGTTTTTTTGCCAACTACAGGGAAAGGGTGAATATACAATGGAATACTGTAAATATCATCCATGTTTGCCCAGCACTCAAGAAGAAATAATTAACAAATACCTCGAAGCAACAGGACGACTTCCTGCAAAGAAGGGCAAAGCCAAGAGCTGACTTTGGTCTTCTTGAGCACATCGAACGGTTTTTCAGTCTTTAAAAGCTCATTGCCCAAGCGAGAGATGCAGTCAAGGCCGGCTGGATAAGCGCGGGCTGCACTGGGACTTGGGCTTGTAATTCATCATCATGTCCTTCCTCTGTGGTACCCTCAGAAGCCACCAGGAAATTAAAATGGAATTGTTCACATGTAAATGCTACTTGTTAACAAAATATAGAAATGTTAAAACACTGATGATAAGTTGTCTTGAAATTTGTATTAAAATAATTTAATTTTTTTTTACTTGATACCTCATTATTTTGTAATTAGAGCAGTTACTGTTTCTCTGGTTTTGAGAGTTTAACAGTTCTAGTTTAGGAGACTATAAACTGTTGACCGCTGGGCAGGCACAGGGGTGTGTTGTCATCCAGTACGGAGCGGTTTTCACTCTTTTATGGGCTGGTCTCTTGGCTCTTTGTTAGAAAAGCAAAGAGAAGATCCCTTTTCCCAGAATCTTACAGTCAAGAGGGGTGTTGCTGGTGATGCGTGGCTTGGGAATCAGTTGAATAGATCTTGCTCCCTTATAGAAGAGAGAGAAAACAAGAATGTTACAGTTAGGTGAGAAAGAGAAGATATTATTGTCAATATTTTTGTTTTAATTACTGCCAGAAGATCCATGCTGAATTTGCTTCGTGTGCTCTCGCTTCCTGACCTACTCAGCTTAACAACATTTTTGCAGACTTCCAGTAAACAGGGAATGAGGTTCCAGTTCAAAACCAGCAATGTTTCTGGCACGGGATCGTGGCTGATGTTTACCAGACGCAGACAGGACTGCGATGGCCGGGCTGCTTCTCCTCAGCCTCCACAGAGAAAATTATGTATTTGAACCTTGAAAAAAGTAACGGTGTCGGAGATGTGTCAGGGGCGCTTAGTGCTGAACACAGGCGTAATGTGGTATGTGGGGATGATGTTGCTTTGTGCCAAATCCTTCTTGATTCCCTTACGTTCAGAGCTTTGTTTTTGTGAAAATACAAAATAACTGGAACTCATTTCAGGACAAGCCCTGCAGGTTCTCTGACATTCGGAGATTTTCTTAAGCAAATACAGCACATTTACCAAAATCCAAAGGCGTCTTATAAAAGCAGTATGAATGCATGAAAGAAATGGGGCAGCTGTTACTTTATTTATATTCACGGCTTTTATATTATGCTTATAAGAGGCCGGCCATGCTGTGAATTCCTGGTGGATAGGTCCTGCCAGACGCGTGCTGGTTCTCCGCAAATGCAGCGCAGCCACTGAAAGCACGGCCTTGGGTAGCTCGGCATGGGGACGGCCGGGTGCGACGGGGTCTGCCGAGCTGCAGCGCGAGGGAGAGGATCTGCGGGTGGCCGTGCGGGAAGGACAGCAGCGCTGGCCAGAGCCTGATTTGGGGGTGCCCTGGGTTCCGTTTCTTTGTGCGTCGTGGTGGGTTTTTTCCCTTTAATCAAATTTGAGATGGCACTCGTAGGTTATCTGACTTGGTTGAATTCTTCCTAGGGCAAAGGTGGAAGAGAGCTATTCCTCTTGTCTGTGCAGCTTACAAATAGGCTCTGCGTGGGTGTTTTAGAATTCCCCATGAACCCATCTGAGCCTCGACTCGGATCATGTCTACATTGATGTCACCAAGAATTTTGCTTGAGTAAAAACTGTCTAATTGTAGGTTCCGATCCACTGACTGAAATCTTGACCCTAAAGAAGTTGGTGAAAATTTTGCCTTTGAATTCCAACAGGTTTGCTACTTTGTCCAGAAGTTACCATGCGGTTTCTTAACTCATATAAGTTGACGTTGGTTATTAGTAGTTAAAGTTATGCGGATCTGGCGACTTGGAGGTGCCCGATCCTCTGTTCTAGGTCTGGAGAGCAGCGACAAAAACAAGGTAAGGAACCTACACTTGTGGTTAAATGCATTGCTAACGTGGAGCCCCAAAGTGCAAATCCAGACCTTTTTCTTGGTTTAATTCTAAAAAGTATTTTCATCCCCAATTTCTCTAAGAAAAGGTGCCATTATACGTTCTGATTTCATGCTTTTGGTGATGAGAAGTGTGTTACCAGCACAAAAGAAGACACCAAGAGTGTGAAATGCTGCTTCACTGAATTTATTGTAACGCTTATTATGTGCCAATATAAAAAGCTTCAGGCAGTACAAGCGTATCAGACTCTTTAACAACTGGTATAAAATGCCTGAATGTGGGGGGTTAACAGATCACCCGGCCTGAGTATCCCCCAGTGAAAGCTTTTACCTTAATCATCATTACCGATCACTGATAGCGCGATATACCACGGGTTCCAAAGAACATACCCGTGCCAGCAGGCAGTGAGCATCCACCACCTGTGTTCCTAAGGAAGGTGTGCTACCGATACAGGGTGCATTTAACCCGGCGGCAATCTGGCTAATGGGGGGGAAAAAACGGTGAGCTCGAGGCGGTGTGGCGCAATCTGAGAGACCAAGGGCAGGACAGTGGGTCTTCTGTCAGCCCAAAGGGAGAACGTGGTGAGAAAGGATAAGAGCGTTCTTGCAGTAGGGCTGTGCGGTGTCTGGATGGGTACAAGACACGGCAGTCGTTAGTGTGAGCTGTTTGACGGGGCGCTCTGGCAGCGGGCCGTTCCCTCACCACCCCAAATGTGGAAATCCCGTCTGCTCAGAGCCCTCCAGTCCCTGCAGGTCTGTTTCCCTTCCAGGTAAAACAGCGAGAACTCTGTCGTACCACAAACAGACGAGGACAGCATCCTTGATTCCTGTCTGACAAAGCGTTCTGGACTGGTGACAGATGTGGGGAGACAAGAAAACATGTTTTCCTTACATCAATATTTTCCGAGTTGCCTTCACAAATAATGAGAGAAGAAACTTTTTGTGTCAGCTCAGACTGCAGGGCATGGTGGCACGTCGGTGGAACTCAGGCTGCGCGGATGCTGGTTACTGGCTTCTGTCGGGCTTTGCGGGGAGACGTCTCACTGCCCACGCTCGTCCGCGTCCCGTAAAGGCCAGACGCTGGGAGAAGATGGGAAGTCGGGGTCAAACAGCAGCATCACGAAACAAAACCCAACCTCGACCCTGCGTAATGGTATTTGGTTTATTGGAGATGTAAGTTAAAAAAATCAGCATGGATCTAGCCCAAAAAACGAAACAAAAAAATTAGTAGACAGATATTTCTTAGTGACAGATTAATACTTTTCTCAAGGTTTTTATCCAAATATATTAACTTTGTTTACAAACTGTTACTCCAAGTAACAGTAAAGTTAGTGACAGAAAATCAACTTGTGTGTGTTTAGCTGGGTATATATGTAGTAGCAAAGGTTTTAGGTAGAACTCCAGAACACGCGAGTCTTGCAGTTTAAGAAATCGGAGGAATTAATTTTGGAACAAAGCAGAGTAGTGAAAGCATTCAAATTCACTGCTGTGCAACTTGTATAGAAAAGTTACCCCAACTCCAAGTCTATTAACACAAGGATTTTCTCATTTAACACAAATACATAAAGCTGACAGTCTCTCTTAAAAATTTGCTCCCGTTTCCTGTAAAATCCCAGCAGCTGATCCGGATTCCATTCCAGAGCTGTCTTCAAGCCCCTGGTTCTCTGAAGCACAGAAGTATTTCACTTTCAGAGGGTGGCCAGGAAGCCAAGTGAGGCGCATGTGGCATGAAATAATTTCCTGGAGAACAGATGTAAAAAAAAATACACATCTTTTAGCATCTTTATACTGCTTGTCTGTTGAGGAAAGTAGGTATTATATGCATACGCTTTCTTACCTGTGTTGGAATTTCATGGAGTAGGACAGCGTAGTCGAACTCAATAAAATCATCTTTCCTTATCTGGACATGTATCAAAGAGGGAGAAAAAACAGATCAAGAACACAAGTTAGATTGTTGAAGTTTCGAGTCTACCCTGATTTACTTGACGGCATTTAGCTTGCTTAGGGGGTGAGATGAAAGGGCTCGAGAGGGCTGTGGTTGTTGGCTGGAGTAAGATGGGTTTCGTATGTGGAGAGACGGAGAATTAGGAACATTTCCTGCATAAAAACTTGGAAGGCATGAACTGCAGCGTGGCTCTGTGGTCTGAGCATTCTCTGACATGAAACTAGGCTGACTCAGATGCTAATTAATCGAGTTAACCCCCAAGTAAATTTGAGAATCTGACCTGACTATTAATCTCTCCTTCAGAGAAATCTCATTCTAAATACCTTGGGAGTAAAAAACGAACGCTGCCTATCGATCACAGATGACTGATGGAAACAAAGCTCAGGGAACTCCTAGTCTGTATGCCGTGGGTGTAAGGTATGTTCCCCAGAGAGTGTATGTCAGGTACTAGACTGATGCTACCGTCAAGCTTGGCTAGGAGGGCAAAGAGTACTAGGAGCGACTTAGCACGGGGCTGATGAACTGCAGGACCCTACGCTCGAATCTCCTGATTAAACCTGCAGAAGTCAACAAGGCAAACCAAATTTTGTCCAAATGATAAAATTTTTCCACCAAAATCTGGACAAAATACTTGTCCAGAGATGGAGATGTTTGTATGGAGAATCGACTGGGATTTTGGGAGAATCGCAGCCACTATAGAGACTGTGAGCTGTTGACGGCTGTTGTGTTCTCTGCTGCTTCGTAGATGTAGCTTCTGTCACGCGGACGTGTACTTCCCACTCGGCTTACCCACTGCTTCACAGACTTGACTTGTGCCATGAAGTAACCCACGTTCTCTGTTGACTTTTCCCACATTATGTAGCTGCTGCCAGCAACAGCCAAAGCCCATGCTGGCTCCAGGGCAGGTTCAATATTGCCGTAGCTGTCTGCAAGGGAGAGAGAGTGTCATGTAAAAATGATTCATTCTGGCCGTTCAGCAGAAAAAAACCCCAACAAACCACGGAACGCTTTTGCTTGGCGCAGCACTCTTCCTGGGAAGGCTCTTCCCTCAGATGTGTTACGGTCTTGAACAGGGAGGAGAAGGATGCTAGACCTGCAGTCACAGTACAAGTACGAAACCGTGACAG